CAGGATTGTGAGACAGAAATTCAGGATTGTGAGACAGAAATCCAGGATTGTGAGACAGAAATCCAGGATTGAGAGAAATCCAGGATTGTCCAGCCCAAAAACTCAGCAAGAGGAACAAGGACAAGAGCAGGAGGGATTGGAAAAAAAAAAAAAACCAAACAAAAAAACTCCTCCACAATTCCTGGGGATTATCTGGGAGGGAAAAACAAAGCTCTGATCCAATTCTTCTCTCACTGAAATTCCTTCTTCTGCAAGGTGAAAAATCTCACAACAAACCCCAGAAGAATTTTGGCCCAAACATGCCAGGAGTGAAGCAGCAGGTTTGGATCCAGGACACCCCCAGGACCTGTCTGGAGACCCCCCCCAAAATCCTGAAGGAAATCTCCTCCTCCTTTTTTTGTCCTCTGTGCTCACATTTTCCCTCAGTGCACTTCTCATCAGTCAAATTCACAAAAAAAAAAAAAAAAACCAAACACAAAAAACCCCAAGAAATTAATGGATAAAGACAAATTTTAAAATTCCTGATTCCAGGGGTTCATCCTTGTCCCCACAGGGTCAAGCTCACAGCTACAAAACCCTGAAATGTTTAAAATCCATCCCCAAATTCTTCCTTGAGACTTTTGGCCTTGCTGTTTTTATCTCCTCATCACCTTCAAGATGCCAACTGGACCTGGTGCCAAAAAAAAAAAAAAAATAAAACCAACAACAAAAAAAAAACCAGTGGGAAAAGTCAAGGAGAAAAAAAAAAAAAAAGAGAAAAATCTGGATAGGAACCAGATCTTTATAAATTCAAAAACCACAGAAATGAGGAGTCCTGAGAACCTGAAATCTCAATCCCAGGATTTATGAAGAAGAGAATTTTAAGAGCAGTAAATATTTGGAATATTGAGGTGATGTTATGGGAGTTTTTTTTCAAATCTCAGCTTGGAGTGACTGCAAGGACAGAGCCAAGGGAATTTTCCAGATTGCCCATCCTGGAATGTGCCAGCACAGCCATGGATTTGTAGGAAAAAAAAAAAAAAATCCCAGCTCCTTGTTGGGATCAAGGCTCTGCTTTTAAGCCTGAACAAATCACAATAAAAAAGCAATTTAAATAATTTTGGGTTTTTTTCCTACATCAGGACAAAATCTCCATAAATGTGGAGCTGCCCATCAATCAGGAAAAAAAAGTGGCCACTGTGGATTTGCCTGTTCCAGGGTCAAATTCCCATTTCCTCATCCTCAGGCAGGGCCACCCATCACTGCAGGGCTGGATTTCCCCTGCAGCAATAATAAAAAATAAAAATAAAAATATAAAAAATAAAAATAAAAATAAAATTAAAAATAAAATAAAATAAAATAAAAATTAAAAAAATAAAAAATAAAAAAATAAAATAAAAAAAATAAAAAATAAAAATAAAAAATTAAAAATAAAAATAAAAAAATAAAAATGAAAAATTAAAAAATAAAAATAAAAATAAAAATAAAATAAAAATAAAAAATAAAAATAAAAAAAAAAAAAAATAAAAAATAAAAATAGAAAATAAAAATTTAAAAAATAAATAAATAAAAATAAAAATAAATTAGTTAGGATTTGACTTCACACCCAGATCTCCCCCAATCCCAGATGAACATCGTGGTTTACAGAAGGTCTGGCTGTTCACAGGGTTGAGTGGCTTTTTCCTGGTAAACATTTAATTAAAAAAAAAAATAAAAATCCTTTCATTAAGTTTTTTTTTTTTAAATTATCATTAGTTACAAGCTTGGGAAAATAAATTTTCCAACTAAAAATATTCAACACAAATGGCCCTGAGCCACAGAGGAGCAGAAAAGTGGAATGAAAAATAAACTTGTGGATTTATCTGGGGGTTAAAAATGAAGTGAGAGATGGGTTGAGGGTCATGATGAGGAATTAAATCCTTTTTAAGGATCTTTGTCATTTCCTCTCTTATTGAAACATTTGTCTGCAGGTGAAGAACATCAGAAGAGAAATCCTCCTGAATTTGGAGGAAAATCAAAGAACATCAGAAGATAAATTCTCCTGAATTTGTAGGAAAATCAAAGGACATCAGAAGATAAATCCTCCTGAATTTGTAGGAAAATCAAAGGACATCAGAAGATAAATTCTCCTGAATTTGGAGGAAAATCAAAGAACATCAGAAGAGAAATCCTCCTGAATTTGTAGGAAAACCAACCACCACACTTGAATATATTTTTTAAAATTTAAAAAAAAAAAATAATTAA